GAGTCGGTGGGAACTGTGAACGGGGCAGTTTGGGGTAAGGCAAACCGCGGGCTGCCGTCTCCTCTAACGTACAGGTGGAGGCTTCCTTAAGGGTACTGTCAAACTTGCCCTGGCGCGTGTTCTGGTTTTTCAACAAGTATTTTTATCGCATGAAACTCGGCAAAAAAGTTCGGGAGGATCGCTCTTAACGACACTAGGTCCCCTGTTTTGATGTGTAGTATTTGATAGTGCATTTTATATATGCTTTTTTTTTGAGGATGGCTTGCACTTCGTGGCACGGTCGTGTTTGTATATGAAAGGAGCAGCGTAGCTGCGGGTTGGGTGTGGGGTTTTTGCGAGTCAAACGCCGTTCCTTCTGCTGTCTCTGTGTGTGCCCGGAGAGCTGCGCTTGCCACCCTCCCGGCTGTGTCGGCAGCCTATCGCGACATCCCAGCGACAGCTACGCTTTCAGCCTTCCCTTCAGCTGCCTTCCCGCAGGGCTCCTTCGTGGTAACGCCACCGCTTCCTCCTTGGTCAGGAAGTCAGAAGTTTACTTTAAAACCAAGTCTAAGACTTGCCACGTAGATAACGAGAAGGTGTAACGCGTAGATTGAGGTGAGGCGGAGCGACTGTTGGCGTGAAAATGGTTTTAAGTGGCTTACGGGATGAAATACAGCACGTGTTGGCCCTGAATCTTTGCAAAGGCTCTGGTGGGTGGCACAAAGCCTGTTGCACGCGTGAAAGTAGCATAAGGGCATTTTCCTGAGCGTGTGATGGCTGCTGGTGCCACCCTGTATGAGCTCCAGCTTCTGCAGATGTTTTCGCCTCGCTGTGTGTGATCACGGTGGTTGCTCGCAGTCGATAGTTCCCAGTTTTCTACCCAGGCAAGCGCGTGTGAACGGCACCGAGATTCTCCTGCTGTGTGTTGGAAAAATGTCTCTTGAACAGAAGTTAAGAAAAAAATAATTAGTTGATTTATTTTTGTAAATACGTAACGCATTGTTTGGATGAGTAATTTTGGCGTTTTTTTGTAGGTAAGATTCCTTACGTTTGAAGATGCCGCTCTTTGGGAATGTTGTTGTAATTAAACGCAACGGGACTGATGGAATTAGTTTTCCACTCACTGCAAGTTCTTGTTTATTTGGAAGGTGAGGATTAGCTGAGTGCTTACATGCCTTGAAATACTGTTAGTGATATTTTTCCTGCAGATCGTGTCTTTTAATACGTATTTGCAAAAGTAAATGTATGTTTGTCTGTGAAAAATGTCCAGGGGAGGGAAGGTGATATTTGACTAAGGTTAATTGCAAGACTAGAAGACTGAACTTAATTTTTGTTACTGCTTTTTATCCTTTCCTTGCCAGAGCCACTTCTTTCTGGCCAAAGGAAATCTGGGAAAGGGGTTAAAAGTAGTACACAGTTGACAAGGAAGTGACGGTATCCTTTTATCCAGTTGGCTAGTGCAGAGAAGCGAGGTACCTGGCTTGTGTTCGACCATCTTTGTTACATCAGTGGTGATCTCCTTTTTTTTTAAATGTTTTTTTTTTTTTTTTGTGCTCCGAAACCTCAGTAATGGAATACATCAGCCAATATCTAGAATTAAACGTTAATAAGAACTTACACCTCCTCCTGTAGTCTTGAAACTGCTTTGACTTATACAGTTGAGTGTTGGGTTTTGAGCTTAATCCAGCTGTTTACATTAAAAGATACAACTGTTGTATCTGAACAGTTTATGTGAAGACTGGACTAGACCACCTGGCTATAAATAGCTTCAAATAAAATGTTTTTAATTCTCTTGAAGTAGGTCTGTTCAGCACTTTACTGACTGGTAGATATCTTAAATACCTAATTATACAGTCCGGAATCAGATTGCATAGTGAAAGTCTCTGGGAAGCCCTCCAGTGCCGGTAGCGCTGTTCTTGGGCATCACCAGAGCCGCTCAGCCAGGCGGCACGTCCTGGTACGAACACCAGTTCCTGCCAGCTGCCTCGATGGGAGGTGCTGGTACCCCTGGTGTGACAGCTGGCACGTTTGCTGCCGAAGCCCCCCGGCGTGTCAAAGGCTTTGGGCACGGGCTGGGAAGGAAGGGAAGCCCGTGCGCTCAGCAGCGGGGCTTGCGCTTGCTGGCAGCTCGCGGGAGGTCACGGTGGCTGTGTGGGTGGGACCGGGGGGGTGCTGGTAACAAGTGCTGAAAAGCGCGTGCTGGCGTGTTCTGAGAGTATCCCACACGTCTTGGGCAACTTGCAAGTTGGGAAACACTAATCTGAAACCACCAGATACCTGTTGCAGACTTGTCTCTGCTTGTTCTGAACTGGTTTTTCCTTAATTTGGGTATTTTATATATTTTTTTTTTCTAATAGGGATTCTCTGATGTACAAGTGTGAGCTCCTGTTATTTTTCACTGCAGTTGGAAGACTTGGGTTGTTCATTTTCTTCATGTCCCCAGATTTAAGAAAGTATCGTGCTGCTGTACTATTATTAGCTGAGAAGTTGGGAAATCACCTAATTCTCTAGCAGTCAGATTTTCCTGTTTCTGTATGTCTTGAAACTCCAATTGTCTCTTCACCCACAGGAGAACAGAATGTGATATTCGCATCCAGTTGCCTCAGGTCTCCAAAGAACATTGTAAAATTGAAGTGAATGAAAACAAGGAGGTGAGAGAAACGTATTTTAATGACACAGGCGTCGCGTGGTTGCGTCTCATCAGCCTACTGAAATGTTTGTTTTCTTTTTAGGCAATATTGACTAATTTAAGTACAGCGAATCCCACACAGCTGAATGGTAGCTGTTTTCAGCAACCCGTGCCTCTGAAACATGGAGATGTCTTGACTATCATTGATCGTTCTTTCAGGTACGTGCCAACGACAAACCCTTAACGCCTCCATCCCAGAGCGTGTCCTGCAGCCGGGCAATGCAGAGAGCTCTGGGGAACCAGGCTCTTGCTGCTGGGGGAAGATAGAGCAGATGGCTGTAGATCGATGGGGAAAACTAAAATGTCCTTTTAGCATCTTCAGAAACGGCAGTTAATCTCGTTTATTTTGTATTTCCTTACAATGTCTTACAGACTTTCTTCAGAAGGCAGGGCTGCTTAAAGATTTTGGTTTTATCATTTTTATATTACGTTAAGTTAAACCAATAAAGATAGAATTGTCTAGAGAGCTCATTTTGATTTTTATTTCAAGGGTAGTAATTTTTAGGGGGAAATTTAGAAGTATTTTGATGTAGGTAAAGCCTTTAAAAGTGAGGTGTGTGTATTGATGGGAGCGGACAACTATCGCTAGGTTGTTTCTCTTTAATAATGGGAATTCAGTCATCAGCTTTTTGACAAAAAATGGTTGTCTTTTTAAATATTTCTTCCAGATTTGAATATCCTCTCCAATCAACTCCAAGAAAGAGGAGCTCTAGACCTTCAAAAGATGAAACACTGCAGGTAACTTTGTGGCCATAGGCTTATCTATTACAAGTACGTTGGTGTTAGTAGCAATACAGTATTCTGTCTCTTTGTTCTCTTTCTAGTCAGGTATAGATTTTTTCAGCCATTGACTATCATTCTGTTGAAAAATACAAATAAACTTCAGATGAACACTTAAAAAAATTAATAATTTATTAATTTTAGACTTGCCAGTTTCTGGTAATAGATACCTAATGGTCTACGATGTTACTAATACAGGTAAGCTATTAAAAATTAATCATCGGCTTTTTCGAAGAGAGGATGGGATGCAGGAGCTGCAGAGTAGAGACATTGGATATCCTTGTACTTTAAGTGGGGAAGTTTGCCCTAGAGAATGAGCGTTCTTTTTTTTAAAAAATAATCGGTTGTTCCACGAGCTGGGACGCTGATGTGTTGTTGGAATTTATAAATATCAAACTAAGCCTATCTTTTTAATAATTTATTTTCATTAGTTCCTATTTTTGTTCTCAGCAAAGTTTTCTCCCTTAAAGGGGATAGTGTTAGTCTCCGAGTACTGTGGCTATTGTAAGATTTGTTTTATTTTTTTCTGTTGTAGTTCTCTTATTTAAATAAAAATTTTCCACTGGGTTTGGTAAGAAGGTGAGGTTCAAAGGTGCTTGTCAATATTCTTATGCTACAGCTGCTTTTAGAGCTAATAATTTTAAAGATAAAGCAACACTTAAACTCTTGCTATATAGGGCCCTAAATGCAGATCGGTCAACGTTCTTAAATTTTGAAATATTGTAGGATTTCATTCCAATACTTTTAAGCCTGTTTAGTAAACTATATGCATTCTTTTGTAAATCTAGTTCTTTTCAACGTACAGTTGAAAGCTAAACTGTAACATCTTTGTTGCTCTGCTGTAATATTGTACAAATTTACAGGTTCTTCATTTTTTTTGGCAGAAGTGGAATTGTTACGCAACCAAACTCCAGGATCTAAAAGTCTTCAAGCTTCAGGTTGGTACCTGTTTTATGGGGGCTTTTATTTCCTCCTTCTCCCTTAACTGCATTTATTCTTAGCAGAGAGGGAAAAACAAGGTTGAAAAAGAGCTAAAGAAATGTGTTTTAAGACTTTTCAGTCTGAGTACAATCCACCTTGCTATGTCAGTGTCCTGTCTCATCACGCTTAGGTGCTGTGTTTTACCAGAGCTGAGTCAGGTAACTGACTGGAGAGATCAGTTTAATCACATGCTGACAAACGGGCGGTAACAGTTAGCCTGGAATTGGCAAAATCCACTTCTAGGGCTTTAAGTGATTTGTGCAAATTCAGTCTATGAAGATTATAGCTCAGTACCCGAGCTGTGCCAATGCAGTACACATGTCAGTCAAAACTGCTGTGTGCAACAGTTGCCTGTTACGTTTTCCTTTTGGGCGGCATCGAACAAGTACAATGTGGCAAATTCACCTTCGTGATTGAAATTTAACTTGCTGCTGGCCTAGAATACAGCTAGATCCCTTTTGAGCAAATATTGCATTATTTCATATAGTCTTTCCTAATAAGACATTGAAACAGGTGTAATTTTGGAGATACATAGGAAAGGTTAATTTTGCTGAATGAAATAAACATTTACAGTAGCCATTTCATGTGGACCCAGTAAAAATCTTCCAGCGCTACTAAATCTGGGTAGTTATAGACCAACAGCCTGGTTAAATGTCAGGGCTTCCCCTTCCCATCCTTCTTGTCTTCCATAATGCTGATTTTCATGGGAAGATACAAGGTTTGTTTGATGGAGGCTATTTATCTGCGGGCAGGTTTCATTTTTGTGAACAATTGTTTGCTCCAGCGCAAAACCCCCGGGCTGTTTCCACGTGTTCCGTTTCAGCGGGTGGTTGTGAGCGCATCAGGATTCCCAGGATTCGGGTGACAGGTTCCCCAACGCTGTCCTACGATACTACAGCCTTTGCTTTGTCGTTCCATCAGCTTTAAGGGAACGACTTGTCAGCTCGGTTAAAAAAAAATATGATGTACTTGTTTGCGGTTAGGTAAAAGCTCTCATAGAAATGGCATTTCCTTTTCTTTCCCATCTCTCTCTCTCTCTTCCCTACCCCCTCCACTCTTTTCCCCTTTCCTAGAAGATAACTGACAGGCTTTTCCTTGTGTGTCAGAGTCTCTACCTTCGTCTTTACGTGGATGATTTCCCATCACAATTAAGAGAAGTTAAGGTGTATCAGCCTTTGTTCGGCAGACCTTCGCGCTGACGCAGCGTTGAGAAATAGACCTTGCATCCGCGTAGGTGTACGCAAGGACTCGGCTCCTTGTGGCTTGAAAAGGCACCGCCTCTCAGCTGAGCTCTGGCAGCCTGAGTGTGCCCCTTGCTCGTGGTAAACGGGGACCTCAGGCCCCCTTGGGTGCAGTTTCCGGATGGCAGCGCCCGTGCAGGCGCTCGCTGGGTCTCAGCTGGGAAGCGGCAGCTCTGCTTTCTTGGCTGGCTTGACCCCACTGAAGCGTTGCCGCAACCCACACGAAGTGGCCCCTGTGTAAACGCAGGGCAAAAACCGCCCTGAAAGGCTGTTTAGTTCTGTGCTCGTGGGTTTGTCTTGTGGCAGCCCTGAAAGGTGTCTGTGAGCCCTTGATTCCGAAGGGAAATGGAAGCGTGAAATACCAAGTGCCGTGCCTGAATGTGGGATAAATTCCAGTTTACAACGTAAACTTTGACTTTTAGATACTATTGCTTCTATTATGAGAGGAATTGTTACTGTTAACAGAGCTGTAGTTATAGTACTGTATCCTGAACGCTGCTTGACCATCTCGGTAGAGGAAAGGAAGGCATTTTTATCCCTATTTATGGGGATAAAATCCTATTTGTGGTTCTGCAGTTTTTAAGTAGCTGCATCCTTTTTGTTTTGCTTTGCTTACTTTGTAGATAATGCTGAGCGTGAAGAAAAAAATGCTGGTGAAAGTAAACAAAGTACGGCGGAAAATATTTCCAAAGCTTTACCCACCAAACTCCAAACACCCAAGTCTTCACACAGAATGCATCAATTTAATAAACAGCAAAATGAAATGTCTCCCTTTAGTAAACTCTATGAAAAAGTGAAACGTGAGATTAATGTGAAAAAACTTCTGCAAGAGGGAAAAGTGTCTCGACAAGCTGCGAAAGATGATGGTAAGAGTGTTCTGCTAGCCCCAAGTGCTCCAATGTCATCATCGGGTTGTCTTAATGATCTGGGAAGCCGGACTAAAGAGGAAGAAGGAGGCAGAAGCGAAAGCATTGAGGAGTGTAAAATAACTACAAGTCAAGAAGCAATCGGTTCAGAACTTAACCCGATCTCAGCTGTAGGAAGTGCTTCCAAGAAGAGTTTTACCAGAAACCCTCGAACTTCTGCTCCAAAGGAGGTGTCAAGAGAGAGTGGTGAAAGTCATCACGTGCAGGATCATAAGGAGCCAAGTACACCAAGCAAACCGAAAGGTGCTGAAGCTGCAACTAAACCCAGCAAAAAGGATGATGGAAATGCAGCATTTTCACTGCGGCAGTGCTCTATAGAATGCTTGGGTTTTGCAGACAAAGTACGCGGCCCTGTAACAGCACTGGATAGACTAGCACAAACGACAAACGTGGCAAATGTTTCTGAAGTGGAGAAATACGTTCTGTCTTTACCAACATCCAGATGGAAGGGTCCTCGGTCTCGTTTCACGTCGCCTACTACAGAAAATAGTGGAATGAATCCTGTGAGAACCGACACTCCAACAATTCGACAATGTGTGTCATTGAAACTTAAATCTTTTTCAGAAATTTTAGCTGAAACTCAAAGGGAAGATTCGGTGTGCAGCGGTGATAGCCTCGACCAACTGTCTTTGGCAGAAAGTAAAGGCTTAAAACAAAGACGAAATAGTAAACAACACACACCAGGGAAACCTGTAAAAGAAGGAGCGCTGGGAGAAACTTGCGATCAGGCAAACTTTGTTAACTCCAAAGAGGGACGTCCTGAAACTCCTGCTGCTTTGCCTAATCCCACGAGTCCCAGCAGAAATAACAGGCAAAGTAAAGAATTTTCAAACAAAAGTGTCCTTTCAGAGACACCGGCTTCAGGAGCGTTGACGCCAGACCTGGCATCTCCTGCTGATCAGAAATCCGACTCTGGAAGACCAAGGGGGAAGCGCAGGACCTCTGGACCGGTGATGGCAAAAGCATTGGAGAAGAATGGTGTTGAAGATCATCACGATCAGACTACAGAGAGAAAAGACAGTGGAACTAAAGACGAGCTGGCCACGAAGGGGTATCGTCAGGAGCAAGGTCTGGAGGATGCCGGTGTTATAAGACCTCGTAGGTTGTCATCAAAGAGAAGGTCTTCTGGAAGTACCGCCACACCGAAAGGCAGCGAGGCTGTCTCAGAAACGAGCAGTTCTGCCCTGTTGGCTGGAGAAGAATCAGGTAAATGTGTTGACTCCCCTGCCTCGCTGGTTTTGTTTTGGGGAAATTCTCGTGGCGTTTTTGTGAGAGTTTTTCCACTTGTTGCTGACACATTAGTTCTGAAATATTTATCATGTAGTTATATTTGGCCATAAAAACGCACAATAATATGTATAAAAGTGAAATCTATTTCTCTTTAAGGTAAGTTACCTTCTGATACGTTTCCAACTTGAAAATGCCTGAGTAAGCCCCGTTTTCCATTCTGGTTTAAATGTTGACTTGGATTCTTGGATATATAGAAATGTTTTCAATTGTTATTTTTAGGCAAGACAAAAAGGATCTCTCAGAAGAGGAAAAGTGGTGATTTGTTACTTCAGACTTTAGGAAAAAGAAAGAGAGTGTCTTTCGGTGGTCATCTAAGTCCAGAACTTTTTGATAAAAGTTTGCCTCCCAACTCGCCCGTTAAAAGAGGGGCGACTCCAGCCAGACTGAGCGTGCCGTTTGGAAACTCGCCACGTGCCGTTCTGAAAAAGGCTCAGGGGCTGAAGCACTCTGCAGCCCAGGTAAGACTAATCAAGCTGCTAAGACAATTGACATGAACAAAATTTATAAATCCTAAGACTTCTAAAAATGAATTAAAAATGAGTAGTAAGCCTTGTTAGCTGTGTGTTGGGAAATGGAAACTTTAGTTGTGAATTAAAATTGTATTTGAAATCAGCAGATTTGAATAAGAATTCTTTTAAAATTCTCCGTTGTAGGAAAGGGCCCAGCTTACCCTTTATACCTACCTGCCTTCATACAGGAGGTGTGTTTTTATTCACCTCACGTGCTGTTGCTCATTCTCATGCGTGTGTGGGAGAACGTTTCTGTATGCTTGTGCTCCGCAGCAGCGTCTACAAGCTCCATTTTGCTGTAAATAACAGAACACAAGCCAGTAGTTTGGCGGCAACCTGCTGCCACCTGGTTTGGTGAAAGCATTTGCTGTTGATTTAAACCAGTTAGAACGTGTGTAGTGTACTTGATGTGATCGAAACTTTTGAATAAGGTAGAATAATAAATTCAGTTAATTTATTCAACTGAATTTGCGCATGTCTTTTGAGACTGTTTTGACATTTAAAAGTTGTTACAAGTTTGTTTTCAGAGAATTAACATTTAAGGCTTTTTCAAATGATTTGATGGTATTTGGTATTTTATACTGCTGTATTTACTTGTCAGAGGTGTAGATGAGCATTTGTAGTTCAGCCATGTGCAGTAACATTTTCGCTTTATGTGGTTTTTTTCTTTCTACCCGGAACTTCCTGAACACTTGCAGAAAGAAAAAATGTCACCAAAAAATTTGCCAGCCCGGAAGTCCCCAGCGGCCTCATCCCCGGGCTCTGGGAAGGCAACGCCTGATTTTACTTTAGGCTCTCCAGCCCCTTACACCAAAGGACGTTTCTCCGTTTCTCTTGTCACGATGCCGTTACCGATTGCAGAAGAGAACGATGCTGTGGTGGAAGACGTGAATACAAAGGAGAAAAGCGGTGCCCGAGTGAGATCACCTAAACCTTCTCGTGTTGATCAAGATGGTAAAGCCTTTTTAACGGCTACACCTGACAGATTAAGAAATGCCCAGCTTGCTCTGAAGGTCACTCCCATGAAGAGGAGAAGCGGGGCTGTAGCCGTTATCAACGCAAAAAGGAGGAGTGGGGCTTCTAGTGCCAACTTACTAGGTTTGTTTCAGCAGTTAATTTTTAATATTGCTTTAAAATAAGACTGCAGTAGGGCTGTTATTTCGTTGTGCAGAGGCCACCGAATGCGTGGCACATCTTCTGATGGTTGTTGGGCTCGTTGGAAACAACTGGGAGTTGCAAGGTCCTACATTCGGTCATATTCATAAAGCAAATTACTAAAACATATATAAAACTATTTAGAACACAAATCTTAATGTTCAGAAGTTGAAAAATGGTAGAATTAAGGTTCTCTCGGCAAGGTTAGTTTCAGTAGTGATCCTTCGAGTCCAAGCAGTATTGACCCAAATCAAATTGCATCAGTTAGAACAATTTTGGTTTGAAAATGTGCACTTTGTAGCAATCTAGCTTCAGTTTGCTTTCTTTGTTACTCTCTTTATATGCTGTTCCCAACTTTTGTCCACTGGACTGCACTGATCTGTTGACAGGGGTATATAACAGATACCATGAAAAAATAGAATGATAACTGGGTGTTAGTTTGAATATTGTGAAGTCGAATGTTTGAATTGGGTATTGAAATGGTTTGAAATCATTTCGACAGTATTGGAAACTTTATGATAGCGGAGCTCTGGTTCTTGAATCTTTTGTCTCTGAAGAAAGTTTCAAGAAAGGTGTCTTTGTCGTCTGTTTTCCTAAGTTAAATCAATCTGACTTTTCCAAAGTCAAATTTGGAGCTTCCCATCAACGCCACCATTCACTCAGGAATTTTTGCTGCTCTTTACTATCTCCTACTTTGTATCATCGTTTTAAAGTTTTGAACTACATACTACATGCAGTGTCCCAAGGGTGATCTCGTTATTACATGATGAGATAAAATCACAAGCCTTCACAATCGTTCCTGGGTAATTCAGCTGAAAGTGGTATTAGTATTTTGAGTGAAATGGGTGCAGGTTAGGTTTTTCTTCATGGCTCTTTTTTAAAGTTCTTTTTATTTACAGACTTTCCCCAGCTTGCGCAGCAATTCTGACAAAAGAATAATACCCTTTTCTTCAGCAACAGCATTCCCCTTTTTATCTCTACTTAAAAAATAATCATTTCTTTTACAAAATCCCTGTCTTCTCATGGCCTATTTCTGAAGTAAATGAGGCAGATGTCCTCCTAACTTACAGCTTGATTTATGACACAGCTGTAACCAGTTCCCCGATTCCTCTGCTGTGCACAGAGTGATGCTGTGATAAAGGTAACCTTGCCTTGGGAATCTTCAGAGTATGTTACAAGGAAAAGGTGATGTAACAGAAATTATGGGAGGTCTGTGTAGATCTAAATGCTGTATAAGCTAGCTATGAAATTCCTTGGGATGGTGGTGAAAGAAAAGCTGGATATGTTTCACTTAGAAGTCATTTCTCTGATGTTAAATCTTGTGTCCCACCAGGGAAAAGTTGAGGTATAATAATGAAAAAGACTGAAAGGGTCATGGCAAGTTTCTGTTGGGAAGAATTAGATACTTACAAAAAGAGTGAGACCAGAATTGGGTCAGCATTCAGTTCTAGGATCTAACATCTGTTTGGCACAATATGAAGTTTTTTGTTGTGGAAAGCCATACTGGGTACTCGGACTCTTCGTTAAACTTCAACTGAAAGTGAAATCTTCCATCTTCCAAGTGAAAGTGTTTCACAGAGCACTTCAGTAGAGGGGCTGTCAGATGATACAATCACCACTTTCCTCTGCTCAACTGCAGCAAATCTACTGGATCCAAAGAAATAATTCTGAACTTCCATTTATATATCTGAGAATTAAAGTGGGGTTTGTTTTTTTTTTTTGTTCTAGTTGCGAGATCTTGGGCAGACGTGGTAAAATTAGGTGTTGCAAGACCACAGTCAAAGACTGTTAAAAGAAGTGCCCAAAAAGGAAAATCCCTGAAGAAGACAACCCAGTTGCCAAAGGTATGTATTCTTGCTCTTTTTTCATGTTTCGTTTGGTTGGTTTTGCATAACCACAAAAAAGCTTTTAGGTATTTTGCTACAGAAGCGGCAAGCTTTTGGGGTTTTAGGATGATGTTAGATGGGTGTTGATGTCTTTGTTACAGCATATAAGAAATGCAGATTTTTATATAAAAGGAATCTGTTTACTATCTTTTTACTATCTTTTTTTGTTTGTTTTTCTTTCCCATCTGCAGACTCCAGAAAGAAAAATAAAAGGTCATTTCAGTACAGGTCATGCAGAGTCACCTGCTACAATAGTTGTAGGTAGAGCATATTCCACCACAGTCAGAACGGCTGGACAGGTCCCTAAAGTGGTGAAAAATCCTGTCTTGAAGCTCAACATGAACATGGATGAAAGCTTCACAGGTACGTTTCTAAAGTCCGTTGCTCACTCTGCCAGCTGTGTAGTTCTTTTGTCAAAGCTTATGCTCGTTTCTCTGAATATCATTTATAGGAGTGACTGAAATGTTTCAAACTCCGGAAAACAAGAGTGGAAAACCATTACCTTTGGTCCCTGTTCAGAGGATGGATTTTACACCACCATGTACTGCAGCAGAAATCTCTGAATTGCACACACCTGAAGAATGTGGTAGGTTTGTTATCTGAAAAGAAAAGAAATGTTGAGGTGTATTTAGGGGATAGCGGTGTTTGAGACGGTGAATAGCCTCAGCCTAGGCAGACTTGATTGTGATGAAGCATCTGGCAACACAGAAAAGGAACTGTTGATTTTTATCCTGTTGTAAAAGACGTTTTTGTAGTTCCAGTTACTTTTTGAGTAGGTGTTATTTTCTCGTTCGTTCTGTTTGGTGTGAAACTTCAAAATGTTGAAGTATTGTTTCAGGCAAATTGTGCCCTGAAGCGTGGCACTTCCTTAATTGGTTGTCTGTGGATATGGCTAAATCCAGTGACAAAGCTTCATGGCAGGGAGAGCTGGTTGTGTAATCTTCCAGAAAAAGTTATTTAAAATTTTTTAGGAAGTTTGTAAATATTTGTATTAAGATGGTACTTTGTGTGTCTCTTGCTCATAACCTTGCGTACCAGTCACTGTGTCCCTGTATAACTCAGAATTCTTGAAATTAAAATTCTGTTTTCCTGAGGATTTAGCAAAACCTGGCATCTACTGAAACATCAAGAAAAATCAAGAATAAATCCTCCAGTATTTAAAATAGTAATAATGGTTGAAATGTATTTTTGGTTTGTTTCAGATGTTGAGGAACATAGGCTTTGGTGTAACAAACCTTGTTATAAGTTCAGAAGGGAGTCCAGTATAAAGTGCTTACTTTGAAAGGAAGAACTAGTAGAATGATCCTCATCCATGTCAAGATGTCTGTTAATAATCCTGTTAATTAGTGCTTTCCTTAAATCAGTGAGCAAGCAAGCCCTTAATCGTATATTCTATAGGCATTGATCCTTTTGTATGTCATGAATCTTTTGGTTTCATGATTTAGGGAACACACATTGAAAAATCTAGTTTATTTATTTTATTTTATTTATGATGCTGTTAGTCCTATGGCTTAGTTTTAGATAGTCCTGCGAGGAACAGAGAGTTGGACTCGATGATCATTATGGGTCCCTTCCAACTTGAGATATTTTATGGTTCTACAATATAAATTTTGCAAAAATCTGTTGTCATTTTTTTTCTTCCTTGGTATTGGAAATGTCAAATGTGTTTTTTAATGTGAAAATTTATAATTTATGGCTGGTATTGCTTCAAAACACAATAGAGTTTGCAATAAAACACTTCCACCACTAGAAATTTCAGGGACAACACAAAACATCAATATTTGTATCAGATTAACTAAGAAAAAATAATCCCATTTTTTACAGTCCTTTGTTTAAATGTGTTCTGTGCCTTGTAGAAGCTAATTACCAAATCAATTGTTGATGCACGTTTTTGGATTTTGGTTTGTAGAAGACTCTTGTCTGTTTGAATCCATTTTACTTACTTATACAGCAATTGGAATGCTTGGGTTTTCTGCTTGATTCTTTTTACAAATTACCTAAATCTACTGCTTATTTCAGGAGAGATGATGGTGTCACCATTAAATAGTTCAGATGCTTCAGAACAGAAACAAGACAGTCCAGGCATTTGTTGCTTTCTGAGAGGGGAGTATCGAGAATCTATCTTCAATGCAATATCCACAGAAACTCCTGAAAAAAGAAAAGCTATGCTGGAAGAAAATATTGGTGTGGATAGTTTGTCAATAATTCCAGAAAAACAAGCATCTCGGGTGAAATCAGGAAGTAGGAGGAGGACTCCAAAGCAGAAGATGGAGCCTGTAGAGGCTTTGTCGGGCGTCAAGCGGCTCATGAAGACCCCAAAGCAGAAGATGGAGCCTGTAGAGGCTTTGTCGGGCGTCAAGCGGCTCCTGAAGACTCCAAAGCAGAAATCGG